AATAAAAGTGCTTGAAATTCATATAGGTAAAGATAGTTAAGATCTCTGCTTACACCACTGTTGAACTTTTAATTAGTGACTTGTGGTAACAACAAGAGCGGTAAATTTAAACCTCGCCAGAAAATAATCGATTTGCTTCTAAAGGAATGAGTAGTATAAAACTACCTAAAATTTTTGGTGGCATAATCGAATTAAAGCGAGTGACATTTGAAGCTTTTTGGTGGAAGCAGAATAATCTTCTGCGGATAGTATTCCTCCTTGTCTGGACTGCCGACTGGATTGAAGAAGAAACTTAGAGTAGCTGAAATTTTTTAATAATCCAATTGCATTGTTCAGTATAATTCCTGAAACCCATTTCGGGTTTGGCTCTGAACAAGCTTTCTGGCTTGTGGTGCATAAAGAAGACAACATTCATTAGTACAGCACTTATGGCCAGTATAATGAGGATAATTATGAATACCAGTAAACGAGTTATTCACTCCACTGTCGTCTAATTGTAACTACTACAAGCCACTGTTGAAGTGTTAACTGCAATGGACCACCTCTGGGCGTAAATAGCGTCGGTTGTCTTTAGAAAGCATAGTCAAAGCCCGGTTTAAATATCTCGCGCGATAGAAGACCATTTATTAGCACAAATCAGCCGCAATATGAGTGCGTGGGTGTTGGAACAGCATTGTAAGGAGTTGTATTTTGCGGTGAGCAATAGTGTGATTTGTGTACACAGTGAACTGACTAATTTCACCGATGAGAGAATAGCCCCTTGATGTACACCAGAAGGAGAGGGAGGATGAATGTGTTAGCGCTCACTTTGAAGGGTGGCAAACAGAGCAAAGGTGAACTACAGTTGCAATTAAAGGAATAATCAAGGCCTTCGTCGTGAAACCGGCGCAAATAGGGGCAATATAATATTGATAAACACTCCAGTACAACTGCACGCTAAAAGTTTCTAACTGAGGTGATTTCTATGACTGAGCATAATTGCTGACAACTGCTCTGGTTAATAAGGAGCTATTTTAAAGATACATGAGCAATCCACATGCACTGAGGTAAGCGATGACCTTATTAGTGTCTAGAAAACTGGTGATCAAACCACCGACCCACACATGGGCTTAATTGTTTTAAGTGTCACCTCTCTAGGCGCAGCCTATTAAAGAACACAAATAATCAGGTGACGAAATAGTATAAATTCTCAAATATATACAATGCTGTCAATTCCAAATAGATGAGAGAAGCATTCGCCTTCCATAACCTCAAATAAATATTAGCATGATGTAGTAATAAGTATTCTCATGCGTCAAATCGGATGTCAGGATATCAATGCTCACCATGCACTCCAATAAAGCCATGGGAATGGTCATCTGACCCTGTTTATTTCTGGTCAACAACGGAACGATTGAATTTGAATTTACCATTAGTCTTGTGAAGAAAAACATCGCTGTTTTTTTCAATTGTAGGATTTTATGGAAAATGAGTTTGATTAATTGACAGAATGAAAAATTGACGTTTATTTGAAGGGGAAAAATACGATTAACGAAAACAATAAGCCCTTTCTCGTTGGTAAAGAGGTGTGTGAACTTGACAACCCACGTTGACTCACGTAGCACGTTGAGTCACTCTCTCATAAGGGCAAGTTTGATCCTGGTAAAAATGCCGATTTAAGTATTTTCATCTGCCCCCACATTAAGAACAAAGTGATTCATGAGAAGTTGATGACAGGTCAAATATCTTTGAGGCGGGGGGGGGGGAAGAGGGAGAGAGTATCAATGTATTGTCAGCCTTCAAGAATGTTTGTTTTGAAGAAACCTGCTGTCTATTGCCTTATCAAGCCACAGCGATTTTTTTCTCGATTTACACAGGTACATGCAAGGATTTGTCTGCTGTAATATTCGTGACTTTTGCACTCCTCATGAAGCCATTCACAGCCGTATAAGCCAGGTTGATACTTAATCCTTTAACGCTAGAATTTCTTTTGAAAAATGCACCAAAGGCACTCACTCGTGTCTCTCAACAGACTAATGCCGCCGACATGATGAGTTTTGGTGGTAGCGGGCAAAGGCTAAAGACACGTATTGAACATGTTCCAAAAGACATTAGTAGTGCTTTCTATTACGAGTCTAGTACCAATGAAGTCTATTTTGAAAGAGGATCGTACTGTTCTGCAGGGCAAATTTTGGCATATGGGCATATTGAGAATTTGCATTCATTCTAAACTTAAAGTATCTCTTCTCCTAAGTGAAATTATTTTAAAATTAGGCCCCTTCGCTCCCACATGAAACCAACTGACTTCCTGAGGGTAAAAATATGTAAGTGTCTATATTGAGGAGATAAATCAGGAGTTGTGCTGGACAGGCACGCCATTAACGACTGCAAATAAGAAAGGAGAGGTGATAGGGACAGAAGGAGGATGTTGGAAGGAGTAGAAAGTATTAAGCGAGTATTAAGTGAGTAACAGGCCAATAGGATACCTGGTGATATAGAGATTTCGCCCTTGTTTTTCAACAACATCTATAACAGCGGTATCAGTCTGCGAGCGTGAAGCCCACATAAAGCGACTTGACAGGCTTACTAGAAAGTGGGCTACAGGTTTACCTATAAATGTAGTGATGGGGTTTATCTGTCTGTAATAGGCTTCATTACTAAATTCCCTCGAAGAGAGAGTAGTATAGCACTTCATGTCATGGCATTATCAATTTCTCATCACTCCTAGCGATGGACCGTTTTCACCTAGTTTTCCGAATTCCCTCTTACCTAAGTCAGTATACTCAATTCTCCTACACTCGTTTCTTCCTTTCACATACTCAGCGTATTATGAGCATCTTCATCATATTCTCCATTTTCTTTCACCTTGGAAGCCATCAGATTCATCTGGTCTTTAATAATAAGCAGATTGTAAGCTCCAACTAATTTAAAAGACTTCAATTTGAGGCGGTGGTTACCGTATGATGGGGTAATATTTAAGTGATTAGAGGCATATTTTAAACATCAAAGAGTTTAAATAACTCAATCTACCTCTTTTAAGTATCCGTCATAAAAACATGTCTTACTCACTAACCAACTTCAACTCTGCCTTGCTCGGCATTGATGCAACAATGTAGGAGGTAACTGGTAGCTTAGTAGTGCAGAAAAGTGAACATACATGTGTGTGAATTTATTCTAAAGGCTTTGAAATTTCAGATACCTGTCCTCAATCCTCATCTAGTGGTGGTCAAATAAAAAGCTATACTCCTACAGTGCTATTGACGCATTCACCGATGTAGGTAAAAATGAACCCCCCCCCCCCCACAACAAATGCACAGATTTAAATTGATCCATATGGTAGGTAATGCAGTAAGTATTAGCAGAGAGAAAGGTAAAAAAATGTCAAACTTCTTCGCTGAGGTGCGGATGATCTTAACATGCTTTGGTGACTATGCAGTAGTGAATATCATCTCTCCAAGCCATTAAGCGATTAAAGCCTCCCAGCATACCTCAAATAGCCAATAGAAATTGTAGTTATTACGTTACCCGATAGGTGTCGACTCCGAACTATAAAAGTGTATTTGTGCGCATTGACACACAGGCCTTCTAAAAACCGAAATCACACTCACGGGGGTTAGTGATAGACTTACCTCCACTTGGTGCACACCCTGGGCAACGTCAGTTGATTTCTGACTTCAAATTACCACGACTCGACTGTATGTTATATTCCACCTCTTTCACAGTACTCACCTCACTTTACCTTTTCCTCTACCTTTGTGTCTGTCTCTTTTACATCTGTGATTTACTCTTCTGTACCCCCGCACCCACTCGACTTTTTTCACTTTGATGTTCCTTCCCCTCTGTGAAGCCCAAAGTCAACTAAAGGGCTAATGATAACTACCATAAAGTCTGCCATTTGATGTAAATAAAGGCAATTACTCACAAATGCCATAATCGGACAATCCCCATAAATATGCCTTATCTTATATTTATTACTAGCGTCTCCCCCCCCCCTCCCCTTAAATTTCAATTTCCGCTTTCTGCTCCAGCAAGTGTGACTCTAGTTAACTCCTGGTCTACCCATTTGGGAAACGTTGTTGTTTGTTGTCAGCCTTAAGGAAAAGTATCGGTTCTGTTAAGGAGCAACTAACTTTAATGTGGTGGAGATTACTGCATAGTACAGTCTCCGAGTTAATTAAAGAACAGCAATGACGCTTTTAACACGTAAAGCACTGGAGATTCGCTGGTTTGAGAGAGGTTCACGCTTTACTGGAACTAACTAGAGAGCGGTCGACCATCCAAAACACTGAATGTGTATCGTAAAGCACCTACCTTATGGCCTCTAGCTTGGCAGACATGCAAGTTGATTAAGGCGCTTACGATTCCACCCGTGGTATGATGGAAGTTACCGACGTCTCACGTTCTAAAGCACTACTACTACTCAGAAGAAAAAGTTCAACCTGTTCCAATACCTTATCACAAATACCCTCCAAACCAAAGCAATGGAAAACTTAACATTTAGCATACATTTTCAAGATCAGCGTTTATATTATAACAGTAGTATTAGAGTAGTGGGAATTAAGTATTAATGCTTAAAGAGAAAGATATAGATGGAAAAAGGCGCGTAGTAGCACCTTATATAAAGCACAATTGTCACACACGCACACAGAGGAGGAAGAAGGGAAGGGGAAGGAGAAAGAGAGAATAAGGAAGCAAGATGGAACCCCAAGCAAAGGGAGAAATGGGGGATCGAGATAGGGCCGTGGTGAAAAAGAAAGTTAAGGAGTAAGGGCACAACACAAAATGGGGAAATCTGCTGTACGTCTACGTCAAACATTGGAATGAATGAGAGAAGAGGGAGAGAGAGAGCGCGCGGGTATTGAAAAACGTCTTAGTTTCATCACAATCGGTTGGAGAAAGGGAGGTGAGGGGGTGGGAACAGGTGAATCTGGGAAGGCAGAGAGAAGATTGACTAGGAGATCGAAAGATATAAGGTGAGTATTGAACCTCTTCTCCTATCTTACTTCCAATATCTTGTCTGCCTAGAGAACTTGTACGTAGTTGGCTGGGTAAAGTCCGACTCGACCATCCTTTCGACCCTTACACCAACCTTGCTCATCCTCATCTTCCAACTTTTCAAACAGGTCACCTGAACAAGAAGCAAGAACGTTGATATAGTACATTGTGTGTGTTACAACCTTAGCCATAACAGGTGCCAAGCTCGTGAAAAAAAATGATCTCCAGAACGAAATCTGCTTGAACCAAAGGAAAGCTCGAAGCTCCAATTCCCTCTTAGTGAACTCATTCTTAACTACTTCTAACTGTTACCTTTTAGTCGACCAAATTTTCTTACTTTGCAGGGCGTAAGGTTCATTCCCCAACCCGGAAGCTGTTCATGGATTCTAGAACGTTGTGTAACATCTGCGCTATATTAGACTTACTCAAATAAATAGCCACTTATCTTTGGTAAAACTCGATTCATATACATTGATCATTCTCATCAGGTCAGAGGAAAGCTAACTCACACCACAATTTGGATACCACCAACGAGTAAAGTAAAATCTGTCTGCTGAAACTGTTAAGCAACCACACACTGCTCTGCTTGTCTTTGAGAGAAAGACAAAAAAGGTCACTGGCTCCATGCACTAACTGGCAAAATTTGTGTGGACACAAGACAAACAGAATATCGGACACATATGAAATGACCAATAAACCGTGTTCATTATGATGAGTTCGCCTTGAATGCACTCTAATGTGTTTTTAAAACAACCTTGTTAGTCTTATTCGCTTGCCCCATTTAGGTTCCTCCGGTGTTCAGATGATAAACGGAGGGAGAATAGATTAAGTGTTATCTTCATTAGCGTGGCCAATGACAAAGAAAATAATTCAGAAAAGAGATTGACGTTATCGATAGGCCTTGATGAGATGATTGAGACCATCAATTTTCTCTTGGATGGAACACACTTAGATGCGCAATTAAGTGAAGTTCTTATGAATAACGAAACTCTGTGGCAGATATATACTCATCTCCCTTAAGAATGGACAGTAGTATCGACAAATTAATGACTACAAAGATTTACAGAGTACTAAGCTACACATCGCGTTCATTCTCAATGAAATGTGTCGAGGGCCTGTCCAACATTGGGCCCACGACATTAAGCGCCCGTTGATCGCCTGAACGCTAACAAAAATTTAGTTTCGTAGTCTTTGTGACAATCGTTTAAGTGTCTCTCTGTCAAGAAAAAAAACCCAAGTAGTATACGCGTAGGCTCCGTTAGTTGGACACTATTAAGGGCCAAAAGATACAATACCTTTACACTACATTAGTTACATTACAACTATGTAACTGTAATTAGCCAGAGGCGAACAACTGACTACATTCTTTCAATACAAGGGATGCACCCAAATTAGTTGAGGTAGGGAGGGGGGGGGGAAATCTTCGAAAGCGGCAATTACAATTAATTTCCACTTCCCCCTTTCAATCTGATCGCGAGCGTACGCACACATAAAGGAAGCGAGAATTGTTCTCTCTCTCTCTCTCATTTGAAAAGCAAATGAACTAACATTCCCTCTCCATCTCAACACACACACAAACAAAAAAAGATGCTGGGCTTAATTAAACAGCGTGACACTCAATTGAAGCGTTTTGGCATTTTGATTCTGCCATTCAAATACACTGTGGCGCATAATAGTCAGCGCTTATCCGATCCTAGCATTTCGACATTCTTAAGCTTGGTTTATGAAGTATCACAGTCAACGCCTGTTTCTTTCTTCTAACAGTTTAGAGCTGTTAAATGAGATGCTACTAATAATCATCATTCACAATTTGACCAATTGTCCAATCAATCGTGTTCTACTGTATCACAAGCGAAGAACCGTTAGCACTAACGAATTCGTCAACATTCTACAGCCAATGATAGCAGAAATCGCAGTGGAAAGTAATATGGGTTTGGAAGGGGAACTATTTCCCTCGTTTCTATCTTGTGGTCCGAAGTAAAACCGCACAATTATTTAATACAACATTTCAATGTACCCTCAAAGTTAGAGAGTAAATTCATGCGGGTCAAAAGATAATTCATGCAAAGCCTTTGTTGAAGTTTACTTAGGGTAATGTCTCAAAGCCGGGGTGCGCGACAGACTTACCTCCACGTGGTGCACCCTGGGCAACGTATACTCATACGGCCAAAAAGTCTATAAACCGGTAGTTGACTTCTGACTTCAAACTACCATCACCCCACTGTATGCCATACTCGATTACTTTCACAGCACTCACCTCATCTTTTTTACCTTCGTGTATGTCTTTTTTACATCTCTGAACCTCTCTTCTGCTCCCCCTCTCGACTTTTATCCACTTTGATGTTTCTTTCCCTCTGTGAAGCCCGAAGTCAACTAAGGGGCTAATGATAACCATCAAAACGCTTGCCATTTGATATAAATAAATGTCTCAAAGCCACAGCATCTTAGTACATTCAAAAATCCCTGATTTCACAACCAAACAAGTTATGGTGAATCTTCAAACACAACAATTGTTATATAAAACCCGTCATCACGTAGAAGACTTTGTCGATTTAATGAGTTACAAACGATAGCGATTGAGAAGCAGTCAAGGATGCAGGTGGCATTCTGTATGGAAGTAAAAAGGACACACTCACCCTGACGGAAGGATAGTTCATCAGACTCCACCCCCACATAATCGTAGAGTGCTCGGATAGGTACTCCCGGTCTTCCATCATCAATGAGGTCCGGATAGGGAGCAACATTTTCAGTCAACGTCGATGGTTGCTGCGCAACTCCACTCATACTTCCGCCATTTAGAGAAGTGGTGTAGGCACTAGATAAGGGAAACATCAATCAGAATAGATTGAGAGATTGAATAGGAGATTGGAGAAAGCTGATCAAACTGACACATGGCATGCATGTGGATATAGGAATCAAGGTGGATGGGTGGGGGTTGGGGGGAGTTGGGAGAATCAAGTTTTGAAATAATCAGGAAGAATGCATTTCTACATAAAATCATGCTAATTATCCACAAGCCTCCGGTAAAACTCCCCAAGGTGAACTTCGACACTTGAGATGAAAATGTACTTCAGAGAATCTAAATTTGAAGCAGTTCAGCTCATTAGTACCACAAAAGCCGATGGAATTCGACAAAAGGTATGGATATATTTCTTTCCTTTGGGGACCGTTTAGACTAAAGGGCATATCGATTATCCAAAGTACAGTCAATGAACATGTTGTGAATAGGCTTAATGATCGTGGAAGACAGAAAAAGAACTGGCCTCTAGAATAAAGTATATCTGCGCATTCGAATTTTCGATAGGAAGGCCAAATAAACTATTGATTCCAGTTGGGAAGGTAGACTGAAGCTCTCCACACCATTGACTTGCCTCGTTTTATTTATAGCATTAGATATTAGTGTGTTCAGTTTCAAGCTTTATTTAATAGGTACAACAGTGCCAAATTAAAACGGTGCAGTGCCAATCAATCAGAAATGCACTAGTTACTCATTATTAGGTGTTTTCTCATTTGCCCACACAGGAGTATCTTCTGAACCAATACTACTAGGACTTCGCAAACGCCTCATAACTGCAGCAATCGAAGAAGCAGCCTCCATTGGGCGATTTTCAACTTCTGTTGGTACAATTAGTCGTTCTTCCGCTCTACAACCCATCTTTTCAATATCGGAAGTTTGGGGTTCAGGGGATTGAGCAGGTATTTCAGTAGCAGTGGGAGAATCAAGATTTGTGAATTGGACTTCTGCGAAGTTAGTGTGGTTGCAAGCACTTCTCATATGAGAATTAAACGACGGATATGAGAGAGGGAGGGAAATTAATAGGAGAGAGAGGAAGAGATAGAGAACAGTGTTAGTATATATGACGCAAATGCCCACCTTAGGGTTAAGGGAAAAATTCTAGGCAAGCCAAAGGCTTCCAGTTGAACATGAGCAGAAAACCGACCTCTTTAATAAATGTTTCTAAGCTCGAAGCCGTGTTAGTATTGTGAGGTTTCTGGGTGGCAGGCAAAGTGTATTTGAGCGCACTGAAGCAAATTCTCATGGCAACCAATAGGAATTCTCTCGCTGTACCGTACTTAAAAAGTGTAAACCTCCGTCACGCACGTTCCCGTTACGCTAGCCCCTGGCGGCTTTAATAAGACGTTGGCTGAAAATTCCACTTTCAATGAAAAGAGCTTTTAATGGGATTTGGGATGTCACAATCGATTTTTTAAAATAACACCTTAATGCTACAACACATCAAGTGAGTGAAAGAAATTGAGGCAAACCGGTTGGATGTATATTGGGTTGGTAAATGGCAGTGTTTTCTAAGGGCTCTCTAAGGAACTACCAATTTACCTTTCATCCCAGAACAACACTGGTACACAATGGGTAAAGTGGTTAATTATAGTTGAAATAAGTGAAATCATCGTGAACACAAATAAGATTTAAAGCTGAAAGCTAAAACTCCACTTAGAAGAAAGAGCAAGAAAATGACAGAAGTCTTGTCGTTATTTTTTTTCTTTCAAAGTGAAATGCGAAAAAAACACTTTCATTCAGACGAACAATGAAGACAGCTCGGCAATTGTAACACAAAGGAATCCTTCACAAAATATTGGAATTCTACCCTGCAGAAATAGGATACCGTTACACAGTTATCGGAGCTACGAAATATTTCATTGAATAGAAGCACTCTATTTAATTTCAATTTCACTTAATACTTTATGGAAGTAAGTGCACTTTCCTCTTCACCCTCAGTCCTCACAAATTGATAAGTTTTATGGCTATAATATATTTTTTCTTGCTTTATCCCAGACAAAAGCAGTGGCAGAGTTTGCTAATTCATGATTAAGAAACCACGATTTGGTCTCTTTGTGGGAGGCGCCAGTTATAAACCATTCTAATCACTTAATGCACATATAAAAGGACTTTGAACCAAACATATCGAAAAGACTCATCAACACATGAGCGCATTCCATTAGTGTCTCATTTTAAATTCTAACGAGATGATGCTCGATCGGCATTACTATTTGGCAATTGCAGAGAATAAGGGATGATCCCATGTAAATTAACTCAAGTGCGAAGAGTGGAAACCCATTGTAACAAGGGTGAAACCTGCGGTGTGAGAGATCAAAAGGAGGCTTTAAGGCAAATATGTGCACCAATTGAGGTAAAAATAGATTTCGTGCTGAAATGACGAGAAAAACACTCATGCAAAATAAAAATAATACGCCTTTGCACATAAGAGATGAAACTACTCCTAATAAAAAATCTTCAAATAAAATAATATCCATTTACATAAATTTTAGCAGTGAAACAAACAATTAGGACAACTCATAAATTATAATGCGATGACATTCATAAAAGATTTGGATGCTGTCTTAACCCAATATGAGTGGATGGGTCAATAAGTCCAAAGACAAACTACATAATTTAGTTATTGAACATAGCCCCCCCCCCCTGCTGTCTACAGGCAAATGGAGGACAACAGAGAAAAGGCAAGTTGGTGATAAAATGGTGGCTCACATACGAGGATGAGTCAAAACGTTCTCAGACAAATTCCGTAACTCACTTATTTAACAAGTGATTACAGTCATTTTTCTGTACAGGCTCCATTGTTGTCAATACTCTTTTCTGTGACCTATATTTCCACCTGTAAATCCCCCCCCCCATGGCAGAATTTTGGGGGCTCCCCCTGGTTCCACTAAATTACATACCTTTCCGTTTCATCTAAAGAAGTGAATTGGGTGTCTCTAAGGCGTTCTTTCACTGTTGGAAACAAAAGTCTGAGGGGGTTAGGTCTGCACTATAAGGAGGATGTGGAAGCGTATCCCATCGAAATTCGTCCAGCAGGGCCCTGACAGCTCTTGAAGAATGTAGAGACATTGTCCTGATGAAAAATTTGTCTGTGCAGTTTCCGCACAGCTTTTTGGCGAGAGATGTCTTCAACTTCCACAAAACGCCGTCATAATAACTTGAAGTGACCGTTTCTGTCAATACCACTCTTTTGAATCTCAAAAAACATGGCCATGACCTTCTTAACGAATCGTTCAGCTTTGAACTCGACGGGCCCAGAAGGTCACTTTGGGTATCACTCTTTTGATTAAATTTTTTTCGGCATCGAATTGGTAGGACCAGGTTTCACCTCCGAGAGTATAATGCTCAGAAAATTGTTATCGCTTCCATCTTTACCAAAGTTGTTAAAGAAAGTACAGGTGTTCGGAACATTGTTCCTGAAACGCCTTTGGAAAACAGATGGCCCACCTAAAGCATGCTTAAGGCAAAATTTTCTGTGAGAAGTGAAAATGCTGATCCGTGTGCGATCCCTATTTCATTTGCAATTTCTTCAATGGCAACTCGTCCATCTCATTCATGCATTGAGTTCTGCACAAGAGAGATGCTTTCTTGATTTCTTGCTGTGGTGAGTCTTCCTCCGCAGGAGTTATTATCAAGTTACACTTTTGTTTCATTAAAGAGTTTAATCCTACCATAAAACCTACTGTGAAGGTTGTAAGATCTTTACAGGTTTCCAAGTTAGTTTAGCTCTAAAGTTTTATGTTAGCTCTGAACTCGGAATTTGACATTTGGAGGATCGAAAATTGCTAGCTACTTTGAAATGCATCTTGTCTTGATCCTGATGTTACATAGAATGAATGGACAACTATATGTTGAGAGGCTTGAACTTGTGAATCTTTGTTCTATTCAAAATTATGGCATTTGTCTGAGAACTTGTTGACGTACCCTGGTAATCCACTTCCCTAAAAGTAAGTAGAAGGTTACCGTCACCAGTAAAGAACTCATCAGGTTGTAGAAGGTGAAATCAACATCAAGACACCAATGGCATCTTTTGATATCCCTGGGTTAGCTGGGGTTGTGAATATGGGAGATTTTAACGTGATAGTTTACGGTTTATGATCCTAATCGAGTATATTATATTCCATTAGAGTTGATATTTACATAATCGAAGAGATTTAGGATACGGAGAAATCAGAGCTAAGAGAGTAGCGATTTAGAGTTGAAAAACTAAAAGAGTTACGGTACTCGAAAATACCTCAATCGATGTAAAAATAACAAGCTATACCATCACCACACATCAAATCAGAAAATCAATCTTAATTGTAGTAACAACGGAAATACAGACAACAAAGATGAAGATGACGATATCACAGAACGACGGCCGAAGAAGAATAAATGAAACCCACCTCACCGACATGGTATCAATTCCATGATCATTGGTTTCTCCAGTGGTGTAATCATCGCTATATATGTATAAGAGTAAAACAATAACAGTAATGGTCAAACTCATTTACCGGTAAGACCTCAAGCCCACTAAGCAATGTGTTAAAGAGGCACTTAACGTTGGGTGAAGTACCTTAAAGTCAACCGTTTGAGCAACCCCTCTTGTAGCAATTTCAGTGGATCCGCATCGAACTCAAGATATTAACTAATAGATAAGCATATCGACCACTAAAACATCATGAAGCCACACCGATTGAGTATGGCGATTAATTAGCTAATATTTTAGCCAGTGTGGTTGGTTACTGAGAATAAGAGCCCGAATGAATTTTGACTCCAGACCTCTACAGCAACAACATACAAGAAAAGCGTATTATCCAAGTCAACTTACGCAGCAAAACCTATATCAGGAGCTACAGCATTGGTTTGGCGATCTGGTGAAGAGATTGACTTCATACTGGTCAGTGTTATACCACTGCTACTATCGGCAACGGCTGATTTACCTTTCTTGCCCAGAGCGCACAATTCGGGACTATATTCCTGGGAGAAAGGGGAAAGGAAAGAGTGTCAGATCTAAGGTAAAGGGGAGGGAAGGCCTCAAAGCTTTTACGTCTATTAATAATGCACATGGTGTTCCCAAAAAAAGAAAGATTGGGTTTGTGTGATTTGCATTCTCTCCATCTTGCTCCAATCCAAATAACATTCTTCTGCGTTTTCAAATGATCTTCTGAGGAGACCCGCACACTGATTGCAAAGAAATTCGGATAATCGGTTTTCAACCACTCTTCTAGTTTATAAGACTTCAAGCACTAGAAATGAAGCACCAAAGTACTTATTGGCAGGGGGTGCTCGAGGAACAATGGTCCCTTCGAAGATGAAAGAATTCTCTGAATATTCGCATAAATTTGGCAACCTTGTAATCCAATTCGTTGATTGAATCCCACTAAACCAGAGACTTACACTGGCGTTGTTGACTATCTTGGGTGATTCGTAACAAGTTTTAACGATTCATAACAATTGTGAACAGGTCGTTATCTTCTATTACCACCAAATACAGTAAAGCCATTAGACATAACGATCCTGGGCTAATAAGAAGAATTCAAACTGAAGATTATTCAATTTGGCACTATTAACATGGTTAGCCTTCCCCATTACATCATTAATTATATATTAGAATAAATAGTCATTTCATTTATCCCATTAATAACGAAAACCTGCAGCTTTAGAAAGTCTATCATTATATTAAAAACTATTGTTTTTAAGGTTAACGAGATAGCAACATAAATGAGTAGAAACACAAATACACCCTACGATGTGTACTTTTTTGGCAAAAGAATCGACAAAATCCAGTTACCGGGGATGGGGTGGGGGGTTGCAAAGACGAACAGACACTTCCTGGGCAACACTGAATGCACTTGGCTTTATAAAAAGATGGTGAAACCTCCTCCTTAACAGAATCGAGTTATAACAGTGATGAAACAAATCAACTATATGTGTAAGCAATTGATTGCTCTATGAGTGGTCATATGACATCTTTAATAGTGCAGTGTGTTCATTTAGGAAACCTGTACACTATATGGATAGGCGATCTACTTCAACCTATTTTCCCCCGTAGTGTACCTATGGCATTCCGAAACCAGTTCGCTTAGGCATTTTCCAGTCCAAATATATAGTTGTTTTTCAAGGCACATAACTAAAGTTACTGCCACTGTTCCACTGTTCCTAAATAACTACCATTGATCATTAGCCTATTTGATTTCTATAATATAGTGTGAGGCCAAAAATAGAATAATTTGTTTACTTAAGATTGGCATATTCGCGGTCTACCTATGTCACAAGCGTCGGAACTGAATATTTAAACCTATCATAGGCTTAGAACTTACTAAGCCCACTAGACTTGGAGTAGAGAGGTACCCTGGAGTCACTTTGTTGAGAACGTTGGATTCATCTACTCCGCCTCTCAACCAAAATTAACCCTTAGAGTGCACCATTTTCGCATTACTGATTGTGCACTAATGAGCAGAGGTGCATATTTACCCTAAAATAGATCTTTTTTGATTCCTTACTTTGCTAGACATAATTTGATCCAGATGGTGCAAAGACGTTTAAAGTAACTTCACAAAAATAGGACGCTTTGGCATGCAATTATCTAGTGTTCGCATTCTCCTTTCCAGGAAAACCTAGATCCGTTATTAAGGGCCATTACCAATAGCCAAATAATTCGAGGCTAAATTAGCCCTGCACATAGCTATTGCTCATTGGTTGCACAAAATCCTAACGATATGATACGATAAATGATCATGTCTTGAGACCAAAATTTAGAACCTACCTATAAGACAGAGAAATGTAAGTCATTTGCAGTTTCAATGGGAAAAACACACATAGGCATGAATTAAATCAATACGGGAAGAGGACTGAACGGAGATTCTTAATGATTAGGAATAGTTTAAAGGAAAATAGGTTTCCCAACTATGAAACCGCATATTCTGAATTTGATTACATAGGCAGGCGAGATATAGAACACGAAATAGTAACCATGAAGATTGGGTGAGACTTCTAGTAATTACCACGCTACTCCTTTCCATCTTCTAAGAAAGCGTAGTGAGTCTCAAATTCGAGAAAGGCCACGTAAATATAGGTCAAGTAGGTTCGGAAATACAGATTAATAATTAAGCTGTGCGGTAAAAGCTATGGTGAAAAACAAATAAAAAATGCGATTCAGTTCAAAGAATACAGGCGTAGGAAGAGCAGAGTAGAAACACGATCTGGTATAGGTTAGATGAACAATAGTCGCGACTACATTCAACGTGTAGAAGCTAACACGTAATAACAGACTACTAGTGTTGAAGATCATCATCCACACATCAAAAAGAGGGCAAATCCATATATATCGAAAGATAATGGTAATGATACCAATAAGGATGGCACAAAGATTGACTTTATTCACAATATAATGGCAACTAAGAGTCACATCAGGATCAGTGTTACAAAGGTGGAGGGTTCGACACTTGTCCGCGGACATTCAGTGAGAGAATAGCCAATAGTACAGGCAGTGTTGGAACACAGTGACTTGAGCATAACTTAGCGATGATGAAGTTCTAAATATATTGCCCTAGTTACAGAGGGGCAACCAAGAGACTTCAGGGTGTTCTCTCTTTATCCCAGAAAATGCACACTTGGTAAAATCAGAAGTCATGAGATCGCCGCCCAATCTAGTGATGCGGATAACTAACCATGGTGGCGGTCAATTATGGTTAATAAAAGGAGGCAGGGAGTTTGAGTTTCCATAAATGACGCTTCAAGATATTCTTCATCTACCCAAAATACTTTGCTCAGTGAACTCAAGAAATACCACCATAATAAATTGCTAAAGATTTTGAAGGAAGGCTCGAATTAAAATCAGATCGAAGTTAGGAAAAAACACCTCATTCTTCAGATGTCCGCTTACCCCCTAGGCATCATACAACTGAGAGCTGGATTGTGAAATATTTTGTCATGAAGAAGCAAGAGAAATCAAGTGTTCAACTAGTGAAACTCGGGACATTTCATCCCCAAAATTGCCTTTAAGAGATCATTCTCCAACAGAGACGAGCTGCTTAATTCATCAGAAGATGTTGAGGGAAAACAAAACATGTGCTAACTATAACTTGAGATTACTAGAATAGTATGTAAACTTACACATTTTCATGTTCAAAGTGTACAAACGCACACACACACACACATCAACTGATCACTTTCCACTTGCACATGAACCTTTAGTAGTAAAAATAACTACTACACTGCAACCTAATTACAACGACCTGTGGCAGACCCACTTCTCTGCACAAAGTCATAAATTCAGTGGCGATCAGTGCACACAACTAATGACCAAACCTAATCGAAATGCTATCTCCCAACTAAATTAGGGTTTGGCGATAAGGCCTCTCTATCGCAGGATAGAAGATGATTTTTTTGGCTTACCTGGAAAGTGGGGAAATTGGTAGGCATATCCGCTCCATACATGAGGGACCACTTTTTTAGATCCGCATCTACATCCACCTTGGAAATTGTATTCTTCATTTCAGCGAAGATGCTTGGAAGGCTAAAAGAAAAATTGGACAAATATACGATATGGAGTTGTAATGCGCTATGGTGAGGATCATGCAAAACCTCCTACTTCATCAAGTGCGAATTCACGAGAGAGGTATTAAGTGGGGGGGGGGGGGGGGGGGGTAATTATAAGTGGCACTTTAACGCAGCCTCTTGAAAACACTGTTGAATCACAGTACAGGTCGAGGGCGATTAGAAAGAGCTGAATGCAAATTGATTCAGTGCAAAATCTTGCAGGAGTAGCAACCAAGTAAATTTCTCCTCACTGCATTGGCGACTATAGTAAACCCAAAGGGGCAATAACAATGCACCCAATTTAACGAAAATTATTAGTTAAATAGACTGGCAATCATTACAGGAATAATGGCCATCCAATGGGTGGCGTATTCAAGGATAAAGAAATTTGGAAGTATTCGAGATCCAAAGCAATTTGCCTGAACTAAAGCAATTCAACTATGGTGATACCCCATCTAAAGTTAATAAATTCGACGAAATGCATATAAAATGAATGAATTGTCAAGTTAATTATGGGGTGTGACATTCTTAAGAAAGTTTTAATTAAGTCTTGTATATTGGCATTAGAAAAAAACTACCAAAGGAATATTTTTGATAAATTTACATCATGAAAATCGCTATAAAACATGCTAAAACAGATTTGGACAATCCACTCTATTTCAAAATACACCAAGCTTTGTAGCCCATACATATTTTTGCCGTTTAAGTTACACGAAATATATCAAAATTCCTCTCACAAACAATCAATAGAGACCAGAACACTCGCCTCCTCTAGGGGACTTATGAAGTGGATTAATCCCACCACCGAAGGGGAAAAAACGTATCCACACAAAGATGGGACAAAATTAGCTGAGAGAGCAAGAAAAATGTAGAAACGGCTGCGCACGCGCACGCAAACACGACCCGCAGCGAATAACCAATCACAAGGCCTCAAGAAATCTATCCCATTGAGGTAGAGTAGGGGACTTTTCGCCCACTCACTCAGTCAGTCAGTCTCGAGGCCATTTAGTAGAACTACAGTAACGGTGCCTACATCGGTAAATGTAGCTGCAACAACACGCAGAGACGCTAACAAATATTGGGCAAACACACGCCTTGCAGTCTTTCGATTTTGATAATAACACATGCCCACAATGAAGCAAAAAAGCATTAAAAGACATGGACAAACCATTGTAGGAAGTAAAGGATTTCCAATGTAGAGAAAAGTTAATAAAAATAGAAGAGCTACAACTATTCTAAGCCATAACGGGAGATGAAATGCGGCAAATGTTATTAAGTTCTCATATTAGATGAGAAAAGAGAAAAACGGCAGCTTCTAAACTAGTAAATGGAGAGAAAAAAGTAGAAAAAAAATGCAATATGCCAAGAAATGGTAATAAGGGACAGATAAGTGACAAATGAAATAATTATTAGTCATAGGAAGAACAAAGTGGAACTCAGTGTGTGGTAGCTAGGAGACAAGACAGGGTTAACAGAATGAACATACACTAGGATAAAAGGCTTTTGCTTCGGTAATTTGACTTCACAATAATTCACTTAGTGATAAATAAGCTCCTAAAAGTGGCAGGGGAACAGAGGAAAATATTCGATATGCACCTTCAAAAACTACTAAAAATTTGATTGATTAGCAGTTCACAACTGTTACAAGCTACCATAAATTTACCTGGGCTAAAATCGGTGATTACCCCTAGTAGGAAATTAGGGGTCGACACAAAAAAAACTCTCAATTTTGTGAAACTGATTAATAAAAGCGCGTGATTCAGCTGATTCAAACACAAGCACAATTGCAGGTCATCGGCAAAAAACCATATTAGGTATACTAGGGGGGGGGGGGAATTACAAGATTAAGACGTGTTAGAATTCAAAGAGAGTACGGTTGGCCGAGCCTTTTACTGAATGCTTGCAGGGATAAATTTTGCCCTCGTGTTAAGAGAACGAAGCATGGGACTGTGTGAAGACGTCCCACTTATTAGTGCGGCGTTTGATCACTGTGAGCATTTAAGTGTCTGGAATAGAAAATCTGAAATTTCTCTGACATAAACAAAACAGCCGTAAGCCAAATATTTGTACGAAAATGAAAGTACTTAATGAATAAACTAGTGAAATTGGAATATTGGAAATGAACTAACACAAAAGTAAGCAAAAGGCATGCGCCATATCTAGCATTTATTCAAGAGAGAATATTATGGAACAGGAGCACTTGATCCGTAAAGATAAAGAAAGTGAAGAGAGTTTTCACGGTTTAATGAAAGATCAGAGAGAGCTAGGCCACTTTGAAAATACCTTATATCTTATAGACTTACCTCCACGTGGTGCAACCTGGGCAACGTATACTCATACGGCAAAAATGTCTATTAACAGGCAGTTGACTTCTCACTTCAAACTACCACCACCCCACTGTATGTCAAATTCGACTACTTTCACAGTACTCACCTCACCTTTTTATCTATCTTTGTGCCTGTCTCTTTTACATCTTTGAAACACTCTTCTGTTCCTCCTCTCCCTCTCGACCTGTTTCATTTTGATGTTCCTTCTCCTCTGTAAAGCCCGAAGTCAACTAAAGGGCTAATGATAACTATCAAAACGCCTGCCATTTGTTCTAATATCTTGACCAAATTAGGGAAAAATAAACACATTCAATGGATGTTTGCCAATTCTAAAGTGGCACTGAAAAGAGCAACAAAATCAGAACCTGAGAGAGAGGGAGTAATTGCAAACAAAGTCTGAAAATGGCTTCAACTCCACAAAGATAATGCTAAATGAGCTGAAGCCTAAAATATAATAAGCATGTTAAATTACAATGTGAATAATTGAATAAAGTAAGAGAACAGATATAGGTTAAAACTCTAAAACTCCCTTGGACACAGAAAATAAATGACATAAATATCCCATATATGAATCTTTGAAAGCTCAATTTGAGAACAATATGACTTGGCAAAATGACACAAGCGCTTATATGTATAGATTCAAATGCAAAATGCTCTTTAGATGTCCTGGCTAATTTTCAATCTCAAACGGCATATTTAATTGGCAACTTATCGATAAATAATAATTGTTTTGGCCAAAAATAATAGTAACTGCAGTAATACTTCCGATATAATGAGAATTAAAGCTTATATCAGTTATTTTATAACACAAAAGCCAATACGTGGCCAATAGAAGGAAATTGTGGATTTTAAGAGCGTGAAATTGTAGAAATTGTGCGAGTCGATAATTGATGGTTGAATATTTTGCAAGAGGAGGGAGAGGAGGAAAGAAAATCAAGACTGGGAGTGCCATTAATCGTAATCAAAGCCCCAAAGACCTAAGATAGCGCGGAAAGACAAACAATCAATTGCTCTAAAGATATTGAGAGCAATCATGTTGAAATGGGATCGGGCACTGATTTCCCGATTTCATTTTCCAGACATAGTACCTCCATTTAGCAAAGCCCAAGTATGCTATATTTATGGAAGTTAGAAAAATACTAAAAATCAATACGTAGATTGGAAAGAGAAGACTAAGTCTTCTAGAATATAGCCAAAAAAACAACCAAATAGTAATAAATTAACCTATTCAAAAAAAATATAATGAGAAATCAAATATGTATAAGGCATATTCAATAAGTACTTAGAGTTCTCCGCTTGAAATTTGAGACAAGAAATAAAAAGGTGAATATCAAGGTAATCAACGCGCTCGAAAGAGATAAACTTAACTGAACTCATGGGAATTGTTAGATGGGAGTTTAGAAAATTCAGAACAATTAGGGCTCACGGCAAAAACGAGTACAATGGCAAGCAGGGTTTGGATAACGTAGATATGAAGCCACCCCACTAACACAGGAAAAAAATTGGCAAATTTAGTTATTCAAATGGATATTACAAAAAGAAGAATATACCCTGTGAAAAAGTGGACAACTCAAGGCATTCAGAATTACACTAAAGAAAGATACATGATAGCACTAAATGGATTATTTAGATGCCGACCCAATGATTAGTATTAGTAAATGTTATTTTGTATTTTCGGGAGTATTAATACTGAAGTCTTTAAGGTACCGATATTACAGACTTCCGTCATAGATGATCAACTCCATTGTCAAAGCCAGTTTTACCAGGATGTGTGGCTTCAGATCAAGATAGGCGATGGAAAACATGCTTCGCAAATTAAGAGGCATCGATTGTGAATTCCAGGAATGAAAATCAAAGTTACAAAAGAGCGTTTAGTTAAGCATTCATTTTAGGAAAAGCAGCAACGCCAAGCCCCTTGGTGAGAAACTCAAATTCTATCAGTCATGGGGGCAAATAGCAATATTTTTAAAGCCCGATTTCCAGAATTATTAAATATCCTATATTAAGAAGGCATTTGATTATCATGATTCCCCCAGCTTAAAATAATCAGGACTCAAAATTCAAAATTATAAACGAATTATCATGAGCTAGTTAACAAACTCAAAGACCATCAGCTGGAAAGATGTCAGTAAAAAAGGCATTTAACAAGAGACTGAAGGTAAGGTCGTAATAAAAACAATGAAATGCTGGCTGGGCTTGGCAGGGAGAATCGGAATAAAGCAAGGGTCTGAAATTAATTCCAAGTTTCGTTTACTTAAATCAGAACTAAATTTGATGGTTACAGAGGCCACAATGCCACCTAAAATAGGGTGACATTGAAGCGTGGTCCTTTAAAACTCAGTGTAGTAGAACGCAACTCAATTACAAAATCATTTCAGGCAAAGCACACTTCAGAAGATGAACTAAGTGCAGTTCAAAATAATAATATAAAAAACTCACATTGACTTCGAGGAGATATCTAAAACCTCTTCCGCGGCAAAGACTTGTTGCTTGAAAAACTCGATGCGTTTCCCCTCAAAGGCTTGAGCTTTGTTGAACACCTAAAGTAAATGAGAATAAAAGCACCAAAGGACTTAAATTTGAGTACATTATACGGAGCATGCTAATAAAGTCAATGGAAAATACCAACTGAGAACTCACTAGTGTCATGTCATCCACATATCTTGGGGTAGCATCAGTAAGGGCAGTAACAGCATCCTGATATGCTTTTCGTGTTTTTTCCTCTTCTGCAGTAGCTTTTCTCAACTTATCCTCCATTCTACGAAGCTGAAAGCGATCAAATGAGAGAGAGAGAGAGAGAGAGAGAGAGAGAGGGTTAGGGAAATTAGAACAAGACGTGGGGAAAAACAGGGAGCAAATTAGAATCTACGATAAACGAACAAAAAACGAAATCTGGGTAATGCTTGAATTTCTAATTAATTTGAGGTGTTAAGACAATCAGGAGTCAGCACGTATATGAGGAAAACAGAGAAGGGGAAAAAAGGCCTTACCCTCTTTGCTCTGCTCTAAAATAAAAGTAACCCGGAAAAAAAACAAATGGACTAGCGTTAGTTACTTAAACTTTTTTAAAGTAAGAGAAACCTAAGTCTGTGTTAAAAGGATTACTTCAGGGGTTTCATTTTGTCGACATAACATTCTTGGCTGCCAAGTGAAAATCGAATAAATCGGCGTAAAAAAGTAAAGAGCGCGAAAAACAAATTCATAAGCACCATCTTAGAGCAATGGGGTGTTACAAAGACTGCACTTACTTCTTTGGCACGTTGCTGGTTAAAAAGGGTATTAAATAAAATTTAATATAGTCCATTAATGGTAAAAATGAACAAAGAAATCAGTAAAATTCTTTATTGCAAAAATACACCTACCTGTTCTGGTGTTCCAAAAGGCTCGCTTTTGGCATTCTGCACCTGAACCTGAAGCGACCGGACAATTTTGCAAGCATGAAAGTATTCCTTTTTGCACTTATTAACCTGTTTGTAGCACTTATGCCAAGTCTTCTGCGCACTTTCAAACTCCGAGTCTAAGCTCTTAGACTCCTTAAGGGAAGTGGAAATAGAACTTTTGTGGAAATTATCCTTTTGCCAATTTTTAATTCCTGTTTGAACTGGATTGATCAAATCAGCAGCGACATTCTGAATAAAAGTCACTCAGTAATTTGGCATATTAGCATAAATAATAAAGTTGGTAAAGAGTACATACGGAATGTAGTTCGGCAGTATCCTTTGCTTCTTTAGCAAGGCTGGATATTAAATTCGAGGCAGTCCCATACTCCAAACCTGACTTAAGAAATATTTCCAGCCTAGAAGCAAACTTTTGAAGATTAGCAGAATAAGCCTTTTCGATGTCAGAACGCTCCTGTATCATTGCAATGAGCTCAGTACAGAGTTTGTTAGCATTTTCTACTCGCTTAACCGTACGAACATATTGATTTGGTTCCCAAAAACTCGCCATTGTTGTGTTATCGACGTCCGATTCATTTGATTGCATGATCTTCAAAGGGCGTAATAGAGTGACAACGAAAATTAACACGAGAAACAGTCGCTTTCAACCGATGGGGGATTACTCGCCATTGAATTTAATACATTAAAACGATTTTATTTTTAAATATTTTTTACCAAAAAACGTTAAATAATAGATTTTAAACAATAAAGTTACAATGAATTATTAAACCGCTAAATCTACTTAGTTAATAAATTGTTTAAAAATATAAATGATTTCATATTCTTTTGTAGTTCAACGAAATTTCTAATGCTTTGAAATCACGACTTACCAGTTAGTGGTTAGAATGTCTAATCAATTCATAATAAATTTTTGAGAAAACAGTAATATCAAACAATAAGAAAAAACATTCAAAGGGATGATCCGCAATTCAATAAGTTTGTATATTTTGGATCTCGTCCACACTTACTAGAAAAATGAAAATTTACTCAAGCAATGAATTGATTATATTATGATTTCTTTTAAATATATTTTCTAAATCATTCAGTTCCATGACTATTGAGTTGGCTGAAATATTTTCTTTAATACTTCAAATTTCCACAGCACGAACAAAATATTTGGGTAATCTATTCATTGTTCACCTGCATGATCTGAAACCCGAGCAAACAAATATGCAAAAAATAAACGTTATAAAATATTGGAAATATTGTCTAAAGAGATGGATTAATTCAATTCAATTCTTCTATAAATTTAAATAGATTAATATATTGTTGCACTAACTGGTCAATAATATTTAAACCAATTATCAAATTGCGTATTCTGATTGTTTCAGGCTAAAATATTAATTTTTTCTTATTGGCAAACAATAAGCATCATGCTGAATAAACTTATTAAATTATCCATTCAACAAAATTTTTATTACCTGCTATTTAAATGCCATTTTCAAGTCATGTGTTTTACTTTATTATATTTCAGCCAAATAATACATTGTTATAACCTAACACATGAAATTTAGCATTAATTCGCAGTTTTTTAAAACCAAGGTCGCCTGTTGCAGAAGTATAATGACTACTCACGTTGGGGAAGTTAACATTCCAAGTCATCAAGATTTTGAATATTTTGTTAATCTTGCAAAAGATGAAAATTGTTGGGCTAGAAGCTATACTAGTAAAAGTAAAACACTTCCGATATCAGCTTTCACTCGAGTTATTGACGGAAATGATATCAAGGCTGTTAAAGTATTTCACTTTATATAATTTTATTTATTCATTCAAGGTTGAATCCATTTTTTCAGGCGTTTCTGCTGTCGATGTTTACGAAAGCCTTCAAGATCCCGAGTACCGCAGAACATGGGATGATGCGATGAAAGAAGGCTTCCGGATTTGTTACGTTTCACCAAACAGTGAAATTGGTTATTACAGGTGTAAGTGATCCATCTATGTTAACGCTCATCTTTTTTAAGTAAAATCGCCATTTGGGTTGAAAGACCGGGATTTTGTCAATCAACGATCCTGGTATATTGGTGATAATGTTTATATAATAATGAACCACAGTGTTGTTCACAAGGTAGGACTCTTATGAGCTGTTTGTTCTACCTTATTTTTTGATAGAAAATGCCACAGATTGAGGGTGTTGTTCGAGGAATTTCTTGTATAACCGGATATTTGATTAAACCCATTGGAAACGATTCTTGTGAATTTACTTACATTACTCACTCAGATCCAAGAGGTGAGTTATTTGCTATTTATTTGCTTAATTACGTGAATCTAGGTAAAATTCCAACTTGGGTTGTGAACACAACGGTAAAGACATTTGCTCCTCTGCTAACAAAGCGTTTATATGAAGCTGCTTGTGGATATGTAGCGTGGAAAGCCACCCATAATCCAGATTTCAGACCATGGAATAATTTTAGCCAACTTCAAACTTTTCCGAAACTCGACCCTGCAGATGTTGGTATGCTGAATGCTTTATCTGTCAGTGAAATCAGTGATAATGTGGAAGTGCCAGATCGAAGAATAATTTCACCACCTTCTTCTGAAAATAGTCCAACCCTCCATGACTACGAAAAGGCTATTAAAGTAGATCCTGTCAAATGGTAAAATGGCGTCCGCTTCTCTACAATTCCTTGTTTTATTTAGAAATTTATACGCCTTACAAGTAAGAATAAAACCTTCGAGTTGTTTTTATCTCCTGATTTTTTGTGATGTTTTTGAATCACTTTATCAAATTCCTCTGAGAATCATCTATTCAAATTTAGCAGATAAGTTAAAAGGACAAAAATATGTGTGTTCTCTTATAATGTCTCGTTAAGTTCAGAACAATATCAGTAATTCCTTGGGCTAATGATAAATATCATAAAGCCTGCCATTTGAAATAAGTAAAAAAAATATCAGTAATTCCCATTATCAATTTTTTCAGCAAATACTGAAATTCAAAAAACTAAATTTTATTCAATTGTGCATGATTTATTATTTATTTCAAATGGCAGGCGTTTTGATAGCTATCATTAGCCATTTAGCTGACTTCGGGCTTCACAGAGGGAAAGTTCATCAAAGTAGCAGAAAGTCGAGGGTTGGGGAACAGAAGAGCGATTCACAAATGTAAAAGAGACAGACAGACACTAAGGTAGAGAAAAAGGTAAGATGAGTACTGTGAAAGGGATCGAATATGACAAGAAGTCGGCCCATGGTAGTTTGAAGTGAGAAGTCAACTGTCGGTTAATAGACTTTTTGTCTTATGAGTATACGTTGCTCAGGGTGCACCACGTGGAGGTTAGTCTATCGCACATCACCAATTGC